GAAAAAAATTTCACGACCGTGAAAAAATTTGCTGTGACCGAAATATATAGAAGAATAAATTCAAAACACAAATTTATTGGTGTATTGTGTTGATAATGATAGCAGCTAACTGTTTTATTCATCAAAAATCATTATACTTGCAATTTGAATATAAAAAAACTTGATACGAAGATCACTGGTGAAAATTTTACCGGAGAAATTTTTTCATTTCACGAGGAACTGTGTACTTAGCTTTAAATGTAATAAGTTCAATCACTTGGAAAATTTATTCGAAACGAATAACGAGAAAGAGGTAGAGAAAGGGAAAAAAAGGTTACCTCGAAAAATATTCGGCATTTTTCACATCCTGTTTGGTGGAAGTGCCGTAACATCCACCGTAATAGGTTGGCGTTTCGCACTTGATCTGATTCGAATCGTGATCGGTGGTGTGTTGAGCGTTCGCTAATTGATTGGCATTTTTGTTGTTCGCATCGTATTGCGGTCGTTTGTATTGTGTTGTTGTTATTGATGATTGTGGCATTTCTTTTTTCGTCGGCCGTGTGCTTTGTCGCTTGTTCAACCGTTGACCTCGCATGTCTTGCGAGTGTGTGCCAAAAAAAATTTCAACAATCGATTGACTTGCTTGCTTGGCCATCGACTCGATTGATGGGTCATTGTGGTTCACCGCCATCGACGAAGATGACGACGACGACGACATTGCCGGTGTGTGATTTGTCACATTTGACGTGGTATTGTTGAACTGTAATGGCTGCAGCAGCACTTGTTTACCGCGTACAGCTGCGGCTGTTGTTGTTGTTGTAATTGGTTGTTGGTATCGCGCGCTATTTAATGAATGAATATTGCTCTTATTTTTACTGTTTTGTTTCCATAAGCCACTGAAATTTCGATTAAAACTAACGTTCACATTTGTTAAACTAATGCCATTGTTGATGTAATAAGTGTTATTTGTATTCTTATTATTTGGTAGGTCACTTGTAAAACTACTATTTAATTTCATTAACTGTTTTTCATTATTATGAATGTTGTTGTTATGTTTTTGATCAGCGGCCCATCGCCGATCTCTTATTCTTGATTTGGTGGTGGTTTTTGTTATTCCAATAACACTATTCGTATTCTTATCACTATTACTGCTAAACTCATTTAGAAATAGAGAACTGTTAACTTGCATTGCCGCGGACACCGTTTGGTGTTCCACCGTATTTATTCCATTTATATTATCATCACTTTTATCATGTTCATATTCAAATTCACTGCCGTATGATGGTGACGCCATCGCTGCCACCGTTAATGAATCAATCGAACGCTTTTGCATCGTCATCATTAGTAATTGGTTAACTGTTTGAATGTTGCGTTTGCGCCGCATTTTACGGCTTTGCATTTCATTGCCGAACTTTTTTGCATTGTACAATGTCGTTGTGCCTTGTGCATTTCGATTGTGTTGCGTTCGACGCGATTGTGGCAATTGTGTTGATGACGATGACGATGACGATGACGATGACGATGACGACGACGACGATGATGATGTAGGCCGTTGCTGTGGCGATATTGTATTCACAATCGATTTGCTACTGTTAATTTTCTCCCAAGTGGCAGCAAACACACGAACGGCTGCACGTATGAAATGCCGATCCACGTTCATGCGAATCGGTCGCAGTGCCAATAAACCAACTGGAAAATCTTTAAATTGATGGAAATTTACAAAGGACGACGACGACGACGAAGAAGAAGACGTGGAATTGCCACCGGTGGCAGCCGATGTACGCTTAAAATTCAACTTTAAATTGTGGTTCTCGTTGAAATTATTATTGTCAATAAAATCATCCAAGTTATCATCACTAAAATTTCGGTATTTACTGGAAATGGCATTTTTCGATGATGTTGTTTTATTTGATATAAAAATGGGCATTCCACCGCCACTGTCATCATCATCATCATCATCTAGTTCGCTGGCAAAGTTGATATTGCCGTTGGTGTCATCGCTCTTGTTTTCGTCGTAAAATGCATTGTCAACATTTTGACGTGCCTTGTTGTTACTACTACTGCTATTGTTACTGCTGCTGCTGCGCCGGGTCTTTTTGCCGCGTGGCGTACTGTTTGTTTGATCTTCGGTTTCAACTGTCCCCTCACCATGTAAGCCCAAAATTAAGCGATTATTATTTTTTGGTGTTTGTTTGTTATCACGCTGTGCAGTTCGCTCTTGATAGTGCTGTGGTGAACCAAATGTTTGTTTAAGCCGCTCATCTTGGCGTTGCAGCACGTGAAACGGATCAAAGCCCTGGCTAAAATCAACATTTGTCTTTTGCAATACGGATTGATCTTCTCGGCTAAGATTCGAATTTGATTTCGCCTTACTACTTGTTTTGCTACCCGTCGAACTTTTACTCTCACCCGTTGCCGTGGCCGTCGACGGCTTTTTCGCATTATTTGTTTCATGCACATAGTTTGGTGTTGATGTCACATTCATCGTGCTCGTTCGATTATCCCTTAACTCGAAGCCCATCTTCGTTGTCGTACTACTCTCATTGTTTGCCTTTGAACGAACTGGCTGATGTGGTGGTTTTGGCGGTGGCTGTCTCACCGGTGCAGTTGCCTGATGAAAATATCCCGTCGATGTGCTCGTATCAATCCACAACCAAATAAAATGACCACCGACCATGTTTAGACGACGAGCTTCAGTCATAATTCGTCTGGTCGCCTGTACATTCCCTAACAATAGGATAACACCGCGTGTTGATCGCGATATTTGGGCTAATTGCCTGTAAAACCATAAAACATAAATTGAATCACACGCTTCAATTATTTTGCAATTCTCCATTCAACATTGTCAGGAGAATGAAAAAAAAACAAATCGAATTTCATCCACGGATGGATGTGAATCAAAATAAAGCGCTCAACTTAAATACGTTTTCAATTGATAAATCAAAAATTAATTCATTTTCCGAATCCAGACAGAAACAAGAAAAAAAATGATGAAATAATGAATTGATATAAGATTAAAGAGAAAGAAGAAGAAGAAGAAAGCAAAAAAAAATCAATAATTACTTGAACACATCGTCGTTATTCCTCGGCAATGGTACAATAGTTGGTACTAATGGTGCTCTCTTCAACGGATTATCTTTAACATTCATGACATTCGTTGCCTGAACATCAGACAGCACAAAAAAAGAGTGCCAATGTGTCTGCGAAATAGCAAGAGAATGGCACACAAATACGGAACGAAAAAAAAGCGGAAATTAGTGAGTGAACGATGCGAATGATGGAATCCAGGACAATGACGACGACGACGATGTCGACGATAGCAGGCGGATGGTGATCGGTGAAGGGGGTCACAAGCATGAAATGAGAGAAGAAAAAGTGTTTATGAAACGGATGAAGTACACGTTAAGCCCAAGTGATTTATGGCTGTGTAAATTATTTTTTTACGTAAGCTATTGTTCAAACCAACTGACACAAACTTTGGACAAATTTATTCTATACCCGAGCACAAAATCCCCCGTGCTATCTCTCTATATAATAAGCTATGAAAGCATACGGTTCAGTTACAGTGTTTCACATGAATTCGAATTCACTCAAGCGGTAATTATATATTTATACATACCTGTAGGAATAGAGAGCGTACCGCTTCAAACATTTCGAAAGCTGACGGTTGAAGTAGCGCTTGCAGAGATCCCTATACATATACAATTATAGCAATATGAAATGTGTTTGTTTTTTTTTCTTTCAGTTTTTGTGTATGTGTAAGTTTTAAATTGCATCATACATTAAAAGGATTGGGGATAAAGAGCAGCACAAGAATACACCAAAGCATTTTTATGAGATTTCAAGTTGTTGTTTTTTTTCGGAATTTTATCACATGGTTTTTTTGCAGCTTCTTTGTTTATCATGAGATGAAAAGCAATATGGATGTGTGTTTTTTCTGTCTGTTCGAATGGAATTTCTATCTGAATTTTTAGACTACTTTTTTCTTCTTCTAAAAATGCTTGTTGGAATTTATGAAATTTCACAAGAAACATTCAACATGTGAATGTGAATGTGAATGATGAAGAAAATGAGGAGTGAGTGAGTCCCAAATCAATTTCGTATGATGGAAAAATGACAAACGAAATGAAAACGACATACCTCTGGATGCAATTCATGTAAATTGGCTATGCCACCCTTTGCCCATAAAACGGGTAACTGCATCGCTGAACTCGCATAAGCAACGGCATGTGCTGATTGTCCATTTCCGATGACTACAACACCGGCTAATGGCCTTTTTTCGCTCTGCTGACATAATGAAAGCAGCACATTCACTGAGAACCTGTCCAAGGGGAAGAAAGAGAAAAAAAGAAGTGTTGACGGTTTAACAAAAAAAAAGTAAAACGAAATGCAAATAAAATGAGTAGAAGCGAGAATATACATATATACAATAATTATCGAGCAGCAACAGCAGTATCAGGAAGGATTTTTAAAGAAATTTTAATTGTTTTAAATGAAAATACTACTATAGCAAGTGCCTTTTACAAGCATTTTTTTCCATTCCCCGAGACCAGCTTATGAACAGATTACAAAAGATTTTATTCTTGCATAATGAGATGAAAAAGTTAATTATCGTTCCTCACAACTAAATGCACTCAAAACAAAATACAATTCTGTAAAAAGAAATCTTGATGGAGAGAAGAGAAGTGGAGAAAAAAAAATTTGGTCGATTGGTCGAGAAAGACGAAGGATGAGCGGGAGAGTGAGAGAGTCAAGGGATGCTAGAGAAGGGCAAGAGAGTAATTTGTGCATTAAAAATTCAATTTTCGCCAGTGGACGCAGCTGCCATTTGCCAGTCTACCTCTCTCTATGGCTACCTCGGCACGATGCTAATTAGTTTGATGTAAGTAAAAGTTTTGTATCTTCTTCTTTCTTTTCGTGCTGTCGCTGCTGTTGTTGTTCTAATTTTCATACTAATAAATTGAAAGATAAAGTGGTTGCAAGACGAGGAAAAAAATACAAAGAGCAAAAGAAAAGGAATGGAAAGTTTTGTGTGTGTGTGTGCTGTATGCAAGCAACTATTAAATATGCATACCTTCCATTTGTTGGCAAATCAACGTAAATTGGTCGAAGCGGTGTGCCTCTTGAATCGTTAAACGGTGGTCCCATATCGCTGATGGTACGTGCCAGTGTGCGTGCCCAAATTTTGGCACCGCCGATCACAGCAACAACAAAATAAACGGCATCGGGCCTTGCTTTCATCTGATTCGGTTCGGAGGCAGTGGCGGCCGCCGATGGATCAATGGAACCCGTTGATGATGGTGTATCCGATTGAGGTAGTTGAATGTCAGGATTCACATAATCATTTTTATCATCATTGCTGCTGCTGCTGCTGCTGCCATTAATACAATCAACAGATTTAATGCTGTCGTTATCGTCAATGATCTGGTTATTGCTATTGTTGTTACTTTTGCCCATTAACGAACTACCACTATTCTGTGCGTTCGTTGAATGACGTTTGCTCGAATTTATTTCGAGATTTCCTCGATTATTGGATTGCTTAGGTGATTTTGATAGTGGTGGTGGTAGTGACAACGACGATGACGGCCGCAGTGGATGTGCTGGATCGACTATAGGATTTTTCGTTATTTGCGGTGGTGAAATTTTTGTCGCCACGGCTGCAGTTTCCGATGCTGCGGACGCATTTGCCAAGGTACTTGACACCATTTCAAATTTGTTCGAAACATTGTGAGCATTCTTTGAGCTTGAATTGGTCAATGATGATAATGACGCTGTTGATGGAACTTGGTTAAATTTGGTTTTGTGATCTATCGGTGACGACGTCGTGGGTACTGTATCGGTAATGAATACTGCTCGTGCTGCTGCTGATGCGGTGGTGTGGTTCGGGATTGAGTATTTGGTCGTGCCTTGAAATTGTTTACGATTTCCTGTCTCTAATGGATCTTTTGTAGTTGTCGCTTTTATGTTGGCCGTTATCTCTTGAATGCGTGACGTTTTTGCTGCTGACACTGCTGCTGCTGTTCGGCTACGGGCTTCATCAACGATGAAATGGGCCACATGTGACGACGATGCGGAGGTCACCGTTTCAACCGTTGTAATGTTTCTGTCATCCCCGAATTGAACGTGTGCATTCACTGCAACCGAACTAGCTAATGTGAATTCGAACAATGTTGAATGTTTTATCAAAATCAATAGAATGAACACATTTGAGTTTGATAACATTTTCCTCGTTGGATTTCACTGCGTGAACACAAAGCAGCGATGATGATGATTCAATCGTAGCAAATTACTTTTTTGCTTGATGAATTGAAAATGACGAGCGTGCACACATATACCAACAACAAAATGTGTTCGTTGCAAGAATAGTATTCCAAACAATGAGACAATGAAGCGAGCGTGTTGAGTATGAATGAATGAATGTGAGCGAGCGAGCGAGCACACTGACCGGAGGGAGGAAAATATTGAATTGACAGCCAGAGGAAACTAATATTGAGAAATTTTCTTCTTTTTTTATATCGATGCATACGCGTTATGGGCTAATGTGAGCTGCGGTGACCATGAAAGCCAGAAACAACGTCGCTTTTGTCGATCCAAACAAATAGAGTTATTTAATCGGTGATTGAGGAAACGTTGAGCCTGGGTATGCCTCTCTCTCTATCTTCGCGTGTGAGTTTGTTTGTGTGTATGTTTGAATTGGTGGTGCGTATATTTGGTAGCGAAAGAAAAAGGAACAACACACATTCCGCACACACACTGGCTACATAATCGACGTGAAAGAGCAAAAAATGTCTCTCTTTCTTTTTCGATGCGATTCAGTTATTCCTTTCAGTTGCTTTGTTATCGTCACGTTTACGGCCGAGTCCGTTGTCTTTAAATGGCGCTAACGTTGTTAGCTCATATATATACGCTCACACACACTGTATGTGTTCGAAATCAATGATGATGATACATATCTATTCTTATCGGAGTATGATGTGGTTGCGCTGCTGTTCAATGGATAGGACAAGTCATATTATTGGCCAATTTCAATGTGTCACTCAGATGCGTCCTTATTATAACAGATTCAGTATAACTTCGATTACAATAACACACAGTGTGGCTTTGAACTTTCTATATTTTACTATTCTCTCTTGTTACTACTGATGCTGCTGCTGATCTGTTTGCTCCTGTTTCCCTCTCTCGAGCTTTTTTGTCTTTTCTATCCTTTCATTCACTCCTTTTGTACATCTCTTTGGTTTTTTTTTTTTCGGTGGTTATTGGTTGTTCGGAATTTAATCTCATTTATTTTGTCTGTGGTTTCCTTTTGTAATACTTTGTTGTTTTTTTTATTGTTGTTTCTGCTGTCGATAGTTGAGTGTGTTTTGTCCGCTTGTTCTGCGCTTTGCTATGTCCACTCACAGGGATTTTCGTCGTTTCGTTCGCTCGACTTTTTCTACTTTGTCGTCGTCGTTTCTTTGTTTTGTTCAGTTCCCTCTCGCGCTCTCTCTCTCTCTCTCGGTATGTGTGTGTGTATGTGTGTGTGTTTCTTGTTTGTTAAATCGATTGAAGTATGTATGGTTTGTTCTTTCACTATTGTATCCTTCCTTGTGTGTTCACATGCTCTACCTCTTCGTTCTCCGTTTTTATGATTTGGCTATTTGGGAGATACTTTCTTTTTCGTCTTTTTTATGATTTTATTTCATTATTTTATCGCTTTATTTACGTACGACAAAAGAAGCGTTCGCCGTTTGGTTTTACTTCTTTTTTCGGGCTATTGATTAGATATTTGTTGTGTGGTTGAAACGACGTTGAATAGCGTGCTGTTTGCTGAATAAAAATCGCCAATGCTGCTATTAATGCCCCGGCTACAACTGATCCGATTACTTGGTGCTCGTTTTCGTTTATTTCCGTTGGGTAATTTCGTTCAATCGTCGGTCGTTTGCAATATGAAATCGTATGCATCTCACAATGATAATTAAGATAATTTTTCAAACGAAATATTAAATCCTCCGTTTGATTAGTCATACTATGGTTGATTACATAGCAGCAGCATCTGTTCGACGACAATGATGCTTCGCAAAATTGAAACAGTTTCTTCGAAGATTGAATTGAGAAGAAATGTGCGTGTGTTTGTGTATGTTGTGTGTTTTTAGCGTACAAAGAATTTTATTCCTATATCCGTTGCTTATTCACAAATAAGCTGTATTTGCTCTCGATGATTTTCAATGGTGGCTCGACATATCACACCAATGTCATTGGTCGAATAGGAAGAAAAAAACAACAACCAAATTGGACAGAGAATACCAAAACACCAATCACCAAATACGGAACACACACACTCTCACTTACAGCAGCAAGGAAAGGAAGAGAAAAAAAAATCGTCGAACACACGAACACGTTGATTTATTGTTGCCGTTTATTTGTTGCAATTTTTTTTCCAAGCGCAAATCGCATTGAATTATAAGCTTTTGTAATTCATATACGTGTTTATGTCCTAATCACGTCGGCACTCTGAAAACATGTAACACACTGGCTCTTGCGTTTTGAGAGTTTCAAGATGGATGAATTTGTTGTTGTTGTTGCTGCTTTTTTTCTCTATCTTTTCTTATTCGTTCATTTTTTTTCGTCTCACATTTTTGTGCACGAATAAAACTCAGCAAGAATTCAATTTAGTTCAAAAATACCATCATTTTCATCTTCACAGTTTTATCGTGCGAAAGTCCAATGAGTTTTTCGTTGACGTTATTCGTTGGAAAAAATTGTTTTCTTCGTGTATATACACACTCTCACTGTGTTTATGGAAAAAAAAATTCACCATTGAATGCCGTTTTGTTATTGTTCAAATTTTTGTTTCAAATTCCTCTTTTGCACTGCGGGTAAAAAGTGACAACAGCTCTCACACACAGAATAACTGAAAAAAAACATCATATAACTGTCAAATAGATTTGCTTTTTTCAACCGACAAATGATGCGCACACTTCGTTTTTTTTTGCTACCAAATCGTTTCCATCGACCGAGAACGGTAATCGCCATATTAATTCCCTTGGTATTATAACAAAATCCGATATTCATTGAAGCTTAAGAAAGCACAAGTATTATTTTTGTAGTTGTCGTCATTGTCCTCGTCGTAGTCATCGTTGCTGTTGCTGTTTAAATTTCGTGTTCTATTTTTTTCATTATTCGAATCACTGTGTTTTTTTTAATCTCAAATGAAAAGCACGTTGAATTAAAGACAGTTAAAATAGTTGTAAAACAGCTTCGATGAAAATTTAATCGCATTTAATAATTTCAACACTCGAAAAATGCCTGAACGCTTTTAATTTTGCGATTTCGTTCGTTTTTATGTTATTGTTATTATTTATTTTCATGGAAAATGGACAGGAGAGTGGGAAAAAAACAGTATGCAGGAAAATGAAATTGGATGTTCTCGCGTGGCCGAGTGTTATGCATGGTGGGATAGAGGAAAATTCCAAAACAAGAGATAAAAACTTGGTTTATGCAGGAAACTCACGTCAAAACCATACCAATTTATATTTAATTCAATCGTGTGCATGCATTTGAGATGCTGTTACCAGTTCATTTCTACACTACATGTGTCCGTTTTCTTCTCACTTTCTCTTTGATTATTGCGTGCTGTTTTTATTTATTCATTCATTTTTTATTGTCTGTGACTCGTCGTCAGCCTGTTGTGCTTGCATTTATTGAGAAAAGGAGAGAGAGAGGTAGAGAGAGAGAGAGGGAGAGAGAGAGAGAGAGAGAGAGAAAGAGATAGAGGGTGAAGGTGAAACGGAGTGCGAAAAAAAATTATACAACCATTCATTTATCCAAGTAAACACACAAATTTTTCATTTTCACAATTCAAAACGTGGTGTGCTATCGTCTTTTGTTGTCTTTGCAAACACTCTCACTTGGCATATACGACATCTTGTAGCTTGCGCTACGATTAGATGAGAGTGATGTGCGCCATTTTTTTTTCATTGTTTGTCACGCGTTTCCTTTTTATTCATGCAATTAATTTTCGTATGCTTTTGTTTGTAAACAAAACTAGCGCTTTGTTTGATGAAAAAAAGGCAAATATTTGCAAGGGAGAGAAAGAGAGATAGATGGATCGAGTATTATTGTAGAGTGTGTGGAAGTGAATGATAGAGTATTAGAGAGAGAGAGTGAAAGAAAGAGAGACAGACAGGCAGAAAGTGTATATTTGCTAATCGTTAACTGGTTATGACAATCAGTCGTGCTTGAATCGTATTGATGCATTATATTTGTTAGGTGACTGTGATGGCGGTGATCATGTGTGTGTGTGTGTGTGCTTTTTTTCATGTTCAGGATTTTTAATTGCTTGACGATGGTTCATGTTTCGGTTGCCCTCTCACAAATTCAATTTCACTGTCTTTGACAAATTGGTTTTTGTGTGTGTGTTAACAACGTAAACAATTTGCACACAAATTTTTATGTGTTCACATGGCAATATATTTTATTCAAGCAACACACTTAATGTTCATTGCTGCATATAATTCAGTTGACGATCGAAGGGTGCGAACAATCGCATTAATTCGAATTTTTCTTCTTCTTCTTTTTTCTGTCCTGTATGTGATTTATGCTTAGGTCGTGGATGTGCTTGTATTATTGGGGCCATAGGAAATTTTATAGTTCTAGTTATTTATGGTAAAAAAAAAAATCAAGTGATGTGTGTATGTGCAAAAAGACGCCCAAATTCTGCGGAGATTTTTCACTCAATGTTCGTCGTATAAGCCACACAATCCACAACACATGATTTACAGCAAACGAAAGAAGTAGAAGGAAAAAAAAGCACCTCAAATACACTATCTTGTTGTTGAATAATAATAAGAGAGCAATGGAATGTTGCCAACGAAATATCTCTATATTATTAAACTATTTTTAATGGAATTTGAGAGAAAGAGGGAGGGAGGGTGAGTGAGAACGAGCAAACGTGAAAAAGAGTAATCCAATTTCGATTACTCTAACGTAAAATGGGAGCACGTTCATGTGTGTGTGTGTGTGTGTGTGTGTGTGTGTGTATGGTAGTTGATGGAAATGTTCGCATCATTCGCGAGTAAAAATCTCTCTATTGAAATGCACCTGTTATAAACAGTTAAAAAGAACCTCATCAATAAATCATTTACAATAGCGATAACATAGCAATTATTAGTCATTTATTGGAAAATATTGGCAAACATTAGCCCCATACACTGGCAACGGAGTATAACTTTTTTTTATAAATCCTATAAATATATATTGACTTCGATTTTGATGACGACGACGACGACTACAATGAAAACGGCGACATCGTTTCCATGTTTCCAATGCGGTGAATTTTTTTTCCATATATGTAAATCGAATGGGAAAACTTTTGCAAACGATGTTAATTGAGTTTGGAAGAGCGCGGTTTTTTTGCTCCTCTTCACTTTTATCATATTGATGATAACACGTTTTTCTGTCCCATTGTGTTTCCCTTTCGTTTCGAGCATATTAATTATACACTGATAGACAGGATAGATTTTGCCATTTTGTCACGATACTCTCGATTCGAACGGGCCAATCGACAAAATCTTCATTAGTTGACAATTCGAGATGCAGGCACGGCAATGGAGAAAGAGTGGGAGAGAGAGAGCAAGATAGTTATAGGAAGAGAGACAGAGTGGAAGAGTGAAAGATGTGGCTATTATGTGACACACACACACATATATATATATATATATATATATATATATATTCTGCAAAACAGCTCAACTGCTCAAGAGACACATACCAAAATCAAATGAGATTACATATGAAAGATTGATATCCATGATTTGAATGGCGAATATTGATTCGATTTGCTTTCGGATTGATTGAATGGAGGAGTTTTAGGTAACGAGGTAATACGACATTTCATCTTAAAATAAAGCCTCTCGAGTGGAAGACAACCGACAATCGATCTATGTAGTCACAGCGGGTCGTCGTCGACGTTGTTGGCGGCCGTAGTGGAAATAGGGATGGTGAAATCCATCTTTTTATGCATGAAAATCGATGTTATCCAATTTTCAAGTTGTGAAAGCCTTGTGCGACTTCCACCACACAACAGAGTGTTGGCTCGATTGTAGTTATGTTCGAAATCGATTGTGTGATGAATTGATACATTTCAAGTGGGATTCGTATGAAATACAATGTCGACAAACAAACAACAAATAGGTATAGTTGAATTTGATGCATGTAATTCATCAGACTCAAAGTATCTTTTCTTTTGTCTCAATTCAACTACTAATGTCGAATAGAACACAAGGGACACATCAGTAGAAAGAAAAAAAAAATTTTCGACTGATTTGTGCTTTTGTTCTGCTGCCACTACGTCCATAAGACAAAAAAACGATGTTTACAATGCCTGTTTTTCCGTCCTTCACGCGATTGTTCTTGTCCCATTCGATCAAAATGAAAGTGAAAACTTTTTATCGCAACACACAAACGCATTCCATTTATAGACCGTTATAAATTTAATGCTAAATCGGCGATTAACAACCGAACCTACATTAAATATGACTAGTAGAAATAATGTTAATATTCAAACAAATTGATTTGAAATTTCTTATTTTTTGTTTCTCTCTAGTCCTATTTGATACGCGACGGGTGCACGCGCTTGGATTATTGTATGTTTTGGTCATTAAAACAAATGCTCTCGCAACAGCAGCACCAGCAGGCGAAGTAGCAGTAGCTGTGGGAGTGACAGAGTCAGCGAGATAACGAACATAAATGAAGATGTTAAACATGGGAAAGAAACAAATGTTCTGCAACTTTTACAACTTGCACAATGAAAAAGTCAGCATAATGTTATACAATCGCCCATCGTTCATCATATGTGTGTACTACACGATGCGACTCTCAAACCGAAAGGGATATTATACATGGAGAATAACAAGCCGAGAATAAAACGAAAAAGAAAATAAAACGAATTACATACGTAATCCAAACTTTTCCGCTCCGCAGCAATTTAGTTTGCCTCCCGCTTAATGTTTAACCAAAATTTCAATGGACCCTTTTTTCATAGCATTTTTGACCTTAAAATATAACTATTTCGACCATTTTCCATACAAAAGTGTCATTTTCGAACAAAATTTCAAAAATTTCAAGAAATGTTGATTTCGGACCAAATTTATGGGCAAGTAGGTGTTCGGTT